CGCAATCACGCTTTCCTACCGCACGTGTGCGAAACTTTGGATAAGCAATCAATTATTGAGGAAATTTTCCTCGGTGAAGAGAGAAGCAAATTCCAAGGGCAAAGTGTTTACCAGCGAACAATAGTTTCTTTCCACTCTGTATCTGCGTCTATTCGGCAATCACGTTGGTCGAAAATTTCGTAAATGGTTAGATCAACGCACGGTTTTACGGTAGTTCTTCTACCATAGAGCAGCAGCAGGCTGCTCGTGACGTATCAAACAGTCGTGTAGAATCTCTCCCCCCCCTCTTCCAGAAGAAGTGCTTTCCTGCGCACCTATAAAACCAGTGAAAGCGCCTGCCGACCCTCCAGACTATCGCACAGTACGACAGCGGCAGCAGCTCTGCCCACTACCGTCACCGGCACGATTCCATTGTCAATTGGCCATCCTTTGCGCGAAATCGCAAAACGACGTTTCATCAACCGAGGAAACCAACGACACACAGACAAGTTCGGTTACGCGTCCGCCCGCCGTTTCTCGCGTATCCGTGAGAGCCTTCGACACGGTCGACACGGCTTAGTTGTGATTAGCAGCAGCTTAGTCAGCAGTGACAATGGAAATGATAGTTGCCAAAATTCTGCTCGTCTTGTCTTTGACCGGGACGCAGGTGTTGGGATACCCTGCGCAAGGAACACTCATCAGTCCAGGTATGCGAACGAATTTGTTTCTTTTGCTTACCGTTTGTCCGAAAGTACAAGTACGATTACTCCGAGTGAAACACTTGTCGTGAAATGTACTAGTCTTCTTGCATGCAGCTGTGTGCACTCGCTACTATAATTGCTACTTGACGAGATTGTTTGGCCTAGAAATAACGATATGTATTCGTATCCACGTGCATTATCCTTCGGCGCAGAATTAAATTGAAATCTATCCGCAACCGTAGACGCATTTCGACTTGTTTCAACGCTAATAAACACCAGTCGAGTATAAATAAGAGCGGAACTAAAAAGTGTAGATACTACATGTAAATATATATACTTAAGCTTAATAGCTATGTAATTTATCATCACGCTGTTTCGTGCCGGTAAATTTGATTCAGTGCACACAAAGGCTGGGCAAGCAAATGCCGCAAACTTCGCTACCTCTAATCGTTGCAATTAACTAGCCGAGAGCGTCAATCTTCTTAGCTACTTTTCTTCTTTCCTTCTTTCCTTCTCGCGTTCGCCTTTACCTCGGACAATTACAGCCCTACCCTTTTCCCATTCTTCGTTCCTCTTTCGCTCTCTCATGAAAGTAGAACACTTCCTTCTACAGATGCTAATCGCGATAATCTCGCGCACAGAGTCAGCCACGCTACGTGACAGCGTTCGAAATTATTCCCGTAAAATTCCGTTACCGATGTCCTTTTTTTGCCGTTTTATTCAGTCTTTCCGATGGAACCTTGAACTCGCTTTCTAGAAACGTTCCCTGCACCCTGCCCAACGATATCCTACATTTCTCGTTCGTTTCCTGTCTGCGAAACTGAAGCTTTTGAATATCAGAGCGTGCACGTCGTATCCTCTGAACTCTTAAACTCTTTTCCAAACTACGAACGTATTATCTCATCAAGCATTCTCGTTGCTGCTAATCTCGTAC